AAAATCCTTGTATTTAAAAAGGCTACTACTTTTGAACATTTTTTTTAGTTCTCTTAAGCTTTTGACTTTTTTTTTACTGGTGTGATCCAAAATCCTAATGAAAACATGTCTTCTAGGTTGTAGAAGAGCGAAATGACGCTAAGTTACAACTTTCTGGAGAACAGAATGCCAGAGTATTACAAGATGGAATTCTAAAGAATCAGCTTTGCAAACAAACGGAGATGGAAGTGGCTAATAACAGAATGAATTCTGGGGTATTTTCTTTAGTTATTTTTAAGTACATGTGTGTATGTATTTGTATATATATACATTTTATTTTCTAAAATTACTTTTTCTCCATGTATGCATATATATATTTTAAAAACCAACACCGTAGATCGTGGAAAGCATAGAGGATTTTTAAAGCATATGTGTGTGTGTGTATGTATTTGGGGGGGCCTAGGTGGTGGTGACATTTTTGGTCCAGTGGATAAAGTAATATCCTTAATTTAAATGTGTTTGTCTGCAAGAGTCAAATAGTGACGTTCATAATGTCCTCATCCAAAGGAGAGGCTTTTATTATTTTCCATAAGAATTGATGAGCTTTCCATATGCTCAAAACTATTGCTACTAACAACATATGTTTCAATTTTTGGCAGTTACTTCATCACCTCTGTATTGAAAGAGAAGTTAGCTTAACACTGCCAGTGATGAACAGGAGGAAGAGTGTAGCCTGTTCAGAGACTTTATTTTGGATTTAGTCTCTACTTTTGAGAAAAGTAGCCATTTGCTCCAAGTAGTATCCAAAGTGCTTTTGAAACAATCCTATGCTAATGATAACGTATTGATGAGGGTTGTATTCCTCCTAAAATAGCTCAGTGTATTTTCCCCTATTTTAAACATTTTAAACATCATGAAGAGGAAATTTATTGCAGCAGCAAATAATCTCATGATTTTTCTAAGAGCTGTATAAATTTTACCTTATTTACCATCAGTATTTTGAAACATAAGGTTTCTTTTGTATTTATGATTTACACTAGAGAAGAGCTGCGGTTTGGTGTAAGAGCACTAGTAGTGAAGTAAGAAGACCTGGGGAAAGTCCTGCAGCTCACTTAATGTTTTTAAGCTCTCCATTCTAGAGTTGTGAACACCAAAAAGTTCACTGATGTATGTAGAAGTGTTTATAGTATAGTGCCTAGATTTGTCAGTTATCAGTAGGTGTAATTCTTATAACTGACTATAGAAACGTTAGAAAAGTAGAATTTCTATGGAATATTGTCAGGAAAAAAGAATTTTAGGAAATTTAATCTGTCAAAATAAATGCAGAGCTAGGGATTTTATTGTGGGGGTGCTGTGTTAGATATCAGACTGTAAATTCAGTTTTTAGTGTAATCAGATTTATTAATCTTTTATTTCAGGGTTTCTGGGTTTGTTGTAAATCAGAGAAAGACCTTTCCAGTTCTGAGATTCTTAAACATTTTGTCTTGGTTTCTTTTTTCCTTTCATGCATTCACTGTCTTCAATTAAATTTTTGAACCTGTGGGAATTTATGCTGGTCTAAAGTTTGAGGTTTGGACCCAACTTTATTCTTTTCCAGTTGGGATATCCACCAACTGCAACCTATTCATTGTATAAACATAGGTTATTCTTTAATTTCAGAGAAAATCATGATAATGTCATTTTATTGAATTCCAGCTAAAAGTCTCTTTTGTTTTACTTAGATTTCTAATAGTCATGAAAAAGAAGAAGATCTGTTGCCTAAAACCCACATGTGGCAGGATGAAATTGCCATGCTAAGACTGGATCGAGACACAATAAACAATAAGAACCAGGACATGGAAAAGAAATATTGTGAAGGCATTGAAATTAGAAAAGAAAAGAATGTCAGTCTTCAAGAGATCATAAAACTGAAGGTGGAAACATTAACAAAAACAGTATTAGAATATAGTGGACAGATTAATGCTCTGACCACTGAGAATACAATGCTAAAGTCTAAACTGGAGAATGAAAAGCAAAACGAAGACAGACTGGACAGAAAAGTTGAATCTTACCGAGCTAGACTAGCTACTGCTATAGAGGATTATGATCAAAGTCAGGCATCAAAAAGAGACCTAGAACTTGCTTTCCAGAGAGCAGAAGATGAATGGTTTCGTCTGCAGGACAAACTGAAGTTTGATGTGTCTAACCTAAAAGAAAACAATGAGCTTCTTTCTCAAAACCTTTCTAAAGCTGAAAGTAAATTCAATACTCTAGAAATTGAGCTCCATCACACAAGAGATGCTCTCAGGGAAAAGACTTTGGCTTTAGAATGTGTACAAAGAGACCTAAGTCAAACACAGTGTCAGAAAAAGGAAATGAAACACATGTATCAAAATGAACGCGGAAAGCAGGAATCCTTAGAGGAGAGATTATCTCAACTACAAAGTGAAAATATGTTGCTTCAACAGCAACTAGACGATGCTCACAACAAAGCTGCCAGTAAAGAAAATGTCGTAATTAATATCCAAGACCAGTTTCAGGATATCATAAAAAAACTTCAAGCTGAAAGTGAAAAACAAGGTCTTTGGCTGGAAGAAAGAAAGAAAGAGTTAATCAATGAATGTAATCTTTTAAAAGAAAGAATGTATCAGTATGAAAAGGAGAAAGCAGAAAGAGAAGTAAGTATCCAGAAAGATAAATATTTTTCAAGCTTCCTAAGAGAAAATTCAAAGTAATGTTTGATTATTATTTTTAGAGGGAAAGAGTGCACCTGCACATGAATGGGAGTGGGGCAGAGGGAGAGGGAGAGAGAATCCCAAGAGGGCTCCACATCAGAGAACGCCACCTCATGACCCCGAGATCATGACCTGAATGATTATGGCTGAATTTTGAATCTAGTTGAATATAAAAAATAGAGAGACTCTAATTCAGCATAACTTGTATCCAGTAAATAAAAATTAAGATTTGAGAGGTGCTTTAATTTGAATAAAATTGTTGTGTCGTCTATGAAAGTTTAAGAGGTTAAGTTATCAATTGTTAATAGATAGCAGGCTGATATTAATAATTTAGTCTTATACTGCTAAAATAATAACTTTAATCTTTGTCACCACATTTTAATACCATGATGAATAGATAATGGAAATGTTCATACCTGAAATGAGCATTTTGAAATTGAGATTCAATTAAGTGGATGGACTTGACGGTTTATTCCAGATTTCCCACATGAACTGAAGTGTAGATGCTGTATGTCAGTACTTTTCCTTTGGTAGCTTTTTATACATTTTAGGTTGGAATAATTTTATTTTTATTTATATAAATTTGAATTTGTAGTCTGAAATCATGTATCTTATGACCTTTTAACTCTTTGCAGGCACTCTTCATTAAATTATAATTTGGGACAACTGTGGTGAGCTTTAGCAAAAGTGTTTGATTTAATCTTCCCACTGCTATTTATAATTTTTTAAGGCAATTTTACAAATAATTTGCTTCTTTCAAAGCTCAATTACTATCATTTGGGCATGAGTTTGTCCAATACCAAGAGAATTGTATCTGTAATATATTAATTTGGCATTGGATCTCCATT